TTAACTTTGATCCCGAAAGTGGATGTGCTGGAGAATTTGATCCCGATTAGTTTGTGCCAGTTTTTCTATAAGATTATTTTGAAGATTATGGCGAATCGAATGACAGTTTTGTTACCGCGGATTGTGTCTCCGGAGCAGAACACATTCACTAAAGGGCGGCAGATCGTCAATAATATTCTTATTGGACACGAAATCATGCAATACCTCAATATCAAGACTAAAGGTAAGAAAGGGTATATGGCCCTGAAGGTTGATATGGAAAAGGTCTATGAAAGGGTTGAATGGCTTTTCTTATTGGCGGTCTTGACAAAATTGGGTTTTGGTGAAACTTGGGCCAGGTGGATGGTAAACCTCATAAGTATTTTAATCCGTCTAGGGGGCTTGGTCAGGGAGATCCGTTGTCGCCATTACTTTTCGTGTTATGTACGAAGGGTCTGGCGGCTCTCATTAGATAGGCTATTGTGGCTAAACTTCTGCAGGGAGTCAGGGTGAATCCCAAAGCGCCTCGAGTGTCTCACCATTTCTTTGCTGACAACTCTTACTTGTTTCTTCGAGGATCGCATAGTGAGTGTTCTGCACTCCTTGGGGTTTTGAGAGAATATGAAGAGTTAAGTGGGCAAAAGGTGAATTTGCAGAAGTCGGCAGTTTTTTTTAGTCGTAATATATCTATGGAGGAGAGTCAAGCGATGGCGGCAAGATTGGGGGTCGGAGTCATTAGAGTGCAGGATAAGTACCTAGGGTTACCGATGCTGATTGCGAGATCCAAGTCAACACCTTTCGGTACGTGGAGGAGGCTTTGCTTAGCCGGATGAAGGGGTGGAAACTTCGACATCTATCATGGGCGGGGAAGGAGACCTTACTTAAATCGGCGGCTTCGGCATTTTCGGTTCATGTGATGGCTTGCTTTAAGCTTCCTGTCACGTTATGTCAGGTCTAGACAAGCATATGGCCTGGTTTTGGTGGGGTTATTCTGAGGGTGAATCAAATATGCGATGGATGTCTTGGTGGCGTCTCTACCAGAGTAAGCATGAGGGTGGGCTTGGGTTCCGTCGCTTTGAGCTTTTTAACCAGGCTTTACTGGCAAAAGTTGCATAGAGGATCTTGATGGAACCGGATTCCTTGTTAGCTCACATCTATAGGGGAATATACTTCCATATTGGGTCAATTCTCATGGCTAAATCAGGGTCACGACCCTCATGGGGATGTCAGAGTGTGCTGCATGGATGCTCGCTCCTATGGGCAGGACTTTGCTGGCAGGTCGGTAATGGGGAGTCGGCCCTCATGGAGATAGAAGAGTGTGTTGCATGGATGCTCGCTACTACAGGTAGGACTTTGCTCCCTCTCATTCATCTGAAGGCGCCATAATTATCTCCAGGGGTGGCCCCCTTGGGCGAGGCTCTCGTCTCAGATTTGATTGGCCTTGATAGTGGAGCCTGGTGTGAGGAATGTCTTCAGGGGAATTTTTTGGAGAGGACTTGTAGAGCGATCCGGGAAATTCCTCTACCCTGGGTGCCGATGGGGGATAAAATTGTCTGGTTCCATGTACCTGACGCGGTTTACTCAGTTAAGCCAGGCTATCGTTTGGCCGACATGTTGGACCGCAAGTGCTCGCAAGTGAAAGCCGAGGCGCAGCTGATTGACATGTCATTATGGAGGAAAGTCTGGGCTTTCCCAGTATAACCTAAGTTGAAGTTTTTTCTTTAGCAATTGCTGGATAGGATCGTCCCTACCATGGAGGGGCTAAGGAGTCGTGATATTCCGGTCGTTGCTCGATGCCCTGTCTGCTGGGCTGAAGAGGAAATGCCGGAACATCTGTTCTTAGACTTCCGGTTGCGGTGGCGTTGTGAAAATCGGCGGGTCTAGATTGGACTAGCGTTGTTATCCTGAGGCTAAATCTGGCTCTTTTTCTCATGCGCCTCATTGACCGAGATGACCCTCCGGTTCGGGTTGTTCGCATTGTCTGTTTACTCTGGCGAATATGGAAATGTGGAGGATGGGAATAGTATGGACTTGGGGCCTAGGGATGCGGAACCACCTGGGGGTAATGGAGGCGATGGGGCGACATGATTAGCGTGCTCGGTTGATGCGGCAGTTTGTGCGGGGTCTGATGCGGCCTGTGGCTTGGTTCTGCGGGATGAATTAGGGATGGTCGTTCTGGCTAGAGGATTGTTATTTTATGGAGTAGATGATCCGGGAATGGCGGAACTTCTGGCGCTACGGGAGGCGGTGCAATGGTGTCTAGCGATGGGCCGGGATGCTGTCACGATTGAAGGTGATGCCAAGGTTGTGTTTAACAAAGTTAATGCAAGGTTGGTAGACGATGTTCGGGGAGGGGTGATTTTTGCAGAGATTCGCTGCCGGTGGCTGGATGCTCCTAGTCTGCTATTTCGTTTTGTGAGGAGTGATAGCAATAGGGTAGTCCATCTGGTGGCTAAGAAGGTACTTTCTTTGTTTTCCAATTGTTGTTCTGGGTTTGATTTTTGTGCCTGGATCTCTAGGGAGGCGAGTCTGATTTAACTATCTTCTCTTAACTAATGCAAGCTATCGTTCTGGAAAAAAAATACACATAGAGTTCAATTCCTACAATCTATCACATTTCTATACTAGAATTCACAATACTCAAGCGAATTGGGGAACTATTGACTCGTTCTAACTACAACATCCCAATCGACAGTCAAGTATAACCGCCGACCGAGTGTAGCATAGGGTAAGCAAGCAATACGAATTTATCGTACCACGGGGATCTAGGCTTACCATACTTCAGGTTTAGGATTCGTTACCTAGCCAACCTAGGATAATGATTAAACTAACTAAACTAACTAACCTAGACTAATCACTAATCCTAGCTATTTACAAGGTAGGGAGCTCCCTTGGTTTGAATCCTCCTAGCTCCATGCCTCCATCATATGATCGATGTTGAGTACCATCATAGCTCGATCGACCCATTATCCTACCGTTAGGAGATGAACTCCTCGGGACAGACCCGGAATGGTGAAAATGGAAACCCAACTCATGTCGTTCATGAAAACATCCATCAATTAAGTAAAATCATCAATCAAACATGGAATGTTTCACATACATCAACATTAAACCCAAATCTTGACCTAGGGTTCTTAAACCAAGAGAATAGGGCGAGTTTCTAGAGAGAGAAGAGAGAAATTACAAATTGGATCTCAAGATCTTCTTCTTCTAGGCTTGAATCCTTGTCTTCAAGATCAACCCAAGCCTCCAGTTAAGCTCCAAGATCACTCAAGCACTCTCTTTATCTCACTAGTCACTAGAACTCCCCTTTGATGTTTTGGGTTGAAACCCTAGAGAAAGAAACTATTTCTTCTCCAAAAACCAGCTCTCCCCATTTCTTCCTTCTGCTGCTGCCTTTTACACCCAGATCAAAGGCTGTTCACGGTTTGAGTTCACGGCCGTGAACTCAAAGCCTGGACCGTGAACTAGAACCAATTTTTGTCGTTTCACTACAACACTTCACGGTCTGGAGTTGAAGTTCACGGTCTTACGACCGTGAACTGACTTGGCATCAATAACCTCTGGAATGGCTCTGGAACCCGGCCAGTTCACGGTCACGGGGCAATTGTCATGGAACTTTGGGCATTTGTTTTCACTTTTTCGCGCTTTTCGACCTTCAATCTTCCCGAAACTCGACCTCGACCTCCCCACACTAACTAGGACCTGAAATGTAACAAAACAAACACAACCTAGAGTAAAATAGGTCTAGGGATGGTGATATACTAAGCATAATGGACAAGAAATAAGGGGTAAAATATGTACATATGGACCCGAATCAACTACTCCATGACTAGGAAGAGGAATACAACAAACATGGAAAGAAAAACCATGGTAAGATGCTTATTTTCTCTTCTGGTTGCTTGGATTGACTCCTTAGAGGAGAAATCTCCACTCTTCAAGTCTTGGGTAGGTCAAACCTCCTACTTCCTACTCTAGTTCGTGACTTTCTCTCTCTAGCTAAGGAAGAAGAAGTCGATCTCAATCTAGAACTCCTCCCCCTTGGGTTTCAGCTCTCTCTTCTTTATATACTCCAGTCGAGCACTTTTCACGGTCAGATATCACGCCCGTGATGTTGGAAGGTTTCTCGCGAATCATGATCTCGGTCCAAAATGTGTCGTTTCACTTATCATCTTTACGACAGGGGTGAAATTGTCACGTTCTGGTGACCGTAACAATTGACTTGTTCGCGAGACGTGCAAAACCTCCTGGATCCGACGATATTCACGGTTTGGGCTCATTCTTCACGGTCTCCTGCCCGTGATATTAGCGCCCTGGTAGTGATCTTTGCCTTTTTGTCCATTTTCGCCCTCTTTCGTTCGACTTCCGCTTCTGAGGTCAATTCACCTGCTAAGACTAACATGCACAAACCTAGCGCAAAATCGAATCTCGGGCGATGCAAACACCTCAAACTCACTAGAATATGAGTGAAAAACATGTGAAAATATGCCCGAATTAGGTGGAATGCCGGCCGATTGAACCAGGTTCAACCGGTGCCGGTCATGAAACTGACATGAATCTACTTAATAAAAAGATTAATTTATTATTTATCTTATTAATTGAAAAGTCAAAGTTGATGTTTTTTTTGGATTATAAGTAAATTGTCCTCAAACATGTTTTATATATAATTAAATTCATTGGATGTTTATGATTTTTATATTTTTACATATTTTGTTAAACCGATATAAACCGGCACAATCCGATTGTACCACCGATCGTACCATTCCACTTGCTAAACCGTCCAGCGATATAAATCGATTTTGACAACCTTGATTTGGAGGGTTATTGGGGAATCCGAACGGCATCAAGAGGGCCCAACGCCCAATACTATTCCTTTATGAGCTGATTTCGGCCGACCGCGAGTTGAGGATGCATGATCACGAGGCTTGATGGAGCAAGCCTGCGAAAAGTCTAAAACCAACATAACGGGCTAACTACCGGGCCGGACAAAAGTCTAAAAGTATGATCGACCCGGAAACCGCCTTTCCCTCCCTCCTTCTATCGTGACTGAGACGAGGCCCGAGGGAAAGAGAGAGAGCATAGCGCACGAAATGGCGTTCTCAGGGAGGAATGTACCTCTCCCTCGTTGCTTCCGCCTTGCGCTTCTGCTTCTGACGATCTCGCTCTCCAATCAAGCCTTCGGCATTCGCTTGCCTGATCGGATCTCAAGCACGACGAGGGACGCACCGAGTGAACCTCTCAAATCGGCCGTCTTCGCTCTCGGTAGCTTCTGGAGATCTGAAGCCGTCTTCGGCTGCTTGGACGGCGTCGTGCGAACCACAGTTGGATATTCCGGCGGATCTAAACCCAATCCTGAGTACCGAAGCTTAGCCGATCACGCTGAGTGCGTCCAGGTGACGCCAAAAACTTCACCCGAATGATTTTCCCCCCGCACTTGCTTTAATAGCGTGGTGGGTTCATTTCTTAATTGTTCCCATGATTCTGGAATTGGGCATCCTTGCAGGTGGAATACGATCCCAGGCTGATTAACTACAGGCAACTGCTGGATGTTTTCTGGTCGAGTCACGATTCAAGGCAAGTTTTTGGGCAAGGGCCTGATGTTGGCAACCAATACAGGCGAGTGAGAATTTTCCGCCGTGGTCAGAAGCTGCGATAAATTTTTTTTTTCTCCTGTTTGATTTCAGAGTTCGTTTGTGTATGAAAGTTTTTTATGTGGGTTCAGGTCTATTATCTTCGCTAATGGAACCGAGGAATCGAGGTTAGCTTCCACTAGCAAAGAAAAGGAGCAGTTGAAGTCTAGAAGCAGCATTGTGACTACCCAAATTCAACAACTAGTAGTTTTTTATCCCGCTGAGCCGGAGCACCAGGTTTTCTTGTCAATATTTCCTCTACATCTCTGCTCTGCCTTCTCCTATTATTCATTTCTTTTGTTTGGAAATGCCAATTAATACAAAATAGAATTTATCATCACGGATCTGATGAAATAGAATGAATTGAGCCTTCTCTTATCGAGGGGTTCTTTATATGAGCGATTTGTAGCTGGATTTGGGGTTGGGATCATTTCAAATGGGTTAGAAGGTGCTAGTGGCTTTTCAGTGCGAAGTGTCTAGATGCCTGGTTATTGCAGTCATAGGAAATTTGCAGTGTTGTAATATGTGTAGTGTGGTGCAAGTGGATGAAATGATTAATGCCTCTAGATTCAATGGTGTCTGAATTTCAACTAAAGGAGAATGGTCCCCCAAAGTCACATGGACAAGTATATATCTCTGCGGCGGTTTCTGAGTTTGAAATGTTTTGGCAGAAATTTGAGCTGAAGAGAAACGCATTGCTTCTTCAGTTGATGGGAAACTTGCCCGAAGATGAGCTAGAGAGGTCAAGCCTGGCAGCGAAACTAAATGGATATGCAGCAGAGCTCTGTCCACCCAGGATTCAAGGGCAGATTGATGCCAAAATCAATGAAATTGTTAAGAAAGGATGGCCTGTTCTGAGGAACATATAATAGTTCATATCTTTTTGTAAGTTCAGAAAGAGCGTCCCCCATGTTCAGCATGTCATGGCGGTGCTGCTGCTGGGATTTCCAGCCATATCTGAACACTAGCTAGATCAACCACAATGTACTTCCTATAGGACCCAGTTTTACTATACCTGGGTGGCTAGTTAAACAGCTGTAATGATTGAATTCATTTTGTTGATGTTTGTGAATTGTAAGCAAACGTTTCTGTTTGGATTCTGAGAGTGCCCTGAGTAGAATTATAAGAACTTTGTGAATTCCGACTTCAATACTTTGTCAAGCTTACTTGCAACGGGCCATGTCCGTCTTATCATTTCTTCAACACTGAAGAGCCATCATGGGACTTAAAAAAGATGCCATAATAGTTTAAAGAACTTCGCATGACTTCAAATTTGGGTGGGTTTAACACAATTGATTCGCTCTGATTATCATAATAAAATCTCACCTAAAGTCCAAGTATAAACATTATATGGGTGCAATATAGGGCAAGTATGTTTAAATATCGACTCGGGCCGGCCCATGTACCACTACTTCGACTGTTTGAAACATTATCTAGCAAATGAGTTTTGGTGAAAACAAATGTCCAAAGCTAAATTACTTTGCAAAAGTAAAATGAATTTGACACTAATTGAGAGGGCTTCACCCGGATGTTGCTCCCCCCTAGCTAACAATAACGACTTGAAGAATCGAATGGCCGTGTGTGGTTAGGGGGTTATAAATCGCAGTGAAGTCTAACAAGTAACCAACGCTACCCTCTTGGTCTCTAGGTTGAGGAAATGAGATATGATCCAAGCCGCTAATGTGATCCTCTCAACCTATCGACTAAGGAATGGTTAGACTTCACCCTCGAATTGGAGTTCGGACGGCCACCCATAACCAAACCTTAAGTGCTAATACGAAATAGGAGGGTTGCCCTTAATTAACCTAGAATAGGAGGCATGGAATGCCCAAGGAAACACATATCCAATAAAGCCTTTTAGGTTAAGGAGGGTTCTCTTTAAACTAGTCTAGGAGGCTTTGAATGCCCAAGAAAACCCAGCTCAAATTGAACCTCTTTGGATAAAGGAGGTTTCCTCTCTAAACTAGCCTAGGAGGCATGTAATACCCAAGAACACCCATTTCTAACTGATCCTCTTAACCTAAGGAGGTCTCCTTTCTAAACTAGGTCAACATAGCACACACAATCACCATGAAAATACCTCCACATTCACATTAAGCACAACTACACACAAATCATTCAATTCATACAAGCATTCACATAATTGTAATTAGGGTTCACAACAGCCAAGTGAAAGAAGGGACTACTCCATGCTAGAAGAACGGAAAACACAAGAGAGGAAAGGAAAACCATCAAGAAGATGCAAGCCTTGCTCCTTGTGTGGAAGAGATCCTCCTTAGGGGGAGGAATTCACAATTCCTTGCTTGGAGATGAAACCCTACCTGCTCCTCTTCTTTGGTTCGTCACTTTCTCACTCTAAAATCTGAAGAAGAAGAAGTTTCTCACACTAGGTCTCTCCCTTTTCTTCATCATTTCCGCTGGCTCTTTAAACTGAGATCGAGCCCATTTCACGGGCCAGTTCACGGTCGTGAACATCAAAACGCACTGCTTCACATCCTGGGATTCAAGGTTGGTGGCTTCTGTTCACGGTCTTAGTGACCGTGAACATCCTTGGCATCAGTAACCACAAAACCCTCACTAGACGCTCCTTGCTTCACGGATTGTGGCTCTAGTTCACGGTCCTGTAAGACCGTGAACTCCATGGCAGACCGTGAACTGCGGCTGTCTCCTCCTCTTTGCCCGCGCTTTGCTCCTTTTCTTCCAACTTTCGACTCTGGGTATGGTTTTGCCTGTTAGGATCTGAAACACACTGAAACACAAGAAACTTTTTGTATAACCATCCTTTTTGGAGTTCAATTGCAACAAACGTCAAAATGAAACGGGGATAAAAGGGGTACAATTAGGCCCGAATCAATCCCCCGCACTTAGACGTTTGCTTGTCCCCAAGCAAACCATTTCACACAAGGTAATCTCTCAACCTAACAAAAATGCTTCGGGGACAAATCAAAGGGCACAAAGTGGCGAATCTCAATGAGTATTGACAATTAACACATGGATCGTTACAAGCAATACCGAGGTCCACCACAAAAGATAATCGAGGTCACCAAAAATGGGCAATGAAAAGTTCTCGCCTTGTTCATGAATCAATACAAGCCTCAACGAGATTACTTATCAACCACAACTAACCATGCATAACATTCAAGTCCAAGGAACAAACAAATGGTCAATAAAGGTCCTCATCGGGGTATGATATGACATGCAAGGCAAGAATGAATCACTCACTCTCTTGACCAGTGGGATCGAGACCTTTTTGGTGCAAAGAATGTGCACAATCATTAACACTCGGCCAAAAACCTTGCTTCTCCCTTCCAAACTATCACCCATCATGAACTACCTTTAAGCGCTCTTCCTCGGTCTACTCTTGCTATCACATTTCGACTTCGTAGTGAAGGAGTTCTAAAACAATGTGGGGGTTTCAATGTCTTGCGTGCCAAGAAACCCCACTTAGAGCATACTCTTTGAATCTATTGTGGCACTCTCTTACTTTATTTACCCCGTTTTATTACCTCTGTTCTGATTCCTTTTTCTCTCTACTTTCCTATTCTTTCTTTTTCTCTTTTTTTTTTTGGGGGGGGGGATACTTGAGAGTTAAACAGTTGCAACTTTACCTTAAACAACCAATAGTCTCTTTTAAGAAGTCACACCAACACTACTCTTTTCTCTTTCATTCCTAGCAAGAACTGCTTACAATCCTTCTATGTATAACCTCAATGGAACTCAAAAGCGAGAGCTCTGGGACACAAGGACGACTCACGTACAGACACGAAGAAAGAATGGGGGGGGGGGGGGTTCGTTCTATCAAACACCATTAAGTTCACAAGCAAAAAGCTCCTACATGAGAACGAACCCCAAAGTAACAAGGCCAAAGGGGTTGACTAGGGAATAAGCATTTCGGGACAATCAACATTTGGGCGTGGACTAATCCTATGCCTCCATCATACTCACTAGTGACAACTGTGATGTTACTCGCCATGGTAAGAGGGATCCAAGCACACAAGAATAAAATGATCGGCTCAAAACTAACATGGTTACCTAGTCACCCAATCATCCATTCAAATTTCACAAAACACAATGCATGGCATTTGTAATCAACAGGTAATCGAGTCAAGACATCCATTCATTTTTGCACACATGAGAACTAAACTTTTGCACTTTCTTAATGCACCTCTCAGGCATCATCATAGGACATACTCGATCACATGCAACAATTCAAGGTCAATTCCAATAAACACGAGATTCACCTACAAATCGGCCACTTTGATCATGCAAACATTGCTTAGAGCCCTCAAAATTTTCAAATTTAGGCATACATCTAGGCTCCAAGCATCAAACACACTTACACAAGCATAAGAATAAACTACCCCCGCCCCCTACTTAAGTTCGACATTGCCCTCAATGGCGTAAGATAGGGGTAGAATGATGTTACCGCTTGGCTTGGTGAGTGAAAGTTGAAATTTTTCCAGGGTAGGAGAGTTTAGCTTCAAGGATAAGACAAAAAGAACACACACACACAAACACAACACATACTCGCTCGAGGCAAGGTTATTACACAAAACAATACGATAAAACTACCCCCGCCCCCTACTTAAGTTCGACATTGCCCTCAATGGCGTAAGATAGGGGTAGAATGATGTTACCGCTTGGCTTGGTGAGTGAAAGTTGGAATTTTTCCGTGGTAAGAGAGTTTAGCTTCAAGGATAAGACAAAAAGAACACACACACAAACACAACACATACTCGCTCGAGGCAAAGTTATTACACAAAACAATACGATAATAGAACAAGAGAAACTTGCTAAGCTCCATTGGGTTGCCTCCCAACAAGTTCTAATTTAACGTCTTAAGCTAGACAGAGACGTTGGACTAGGCATCTTGTAGGAACACCACCTCCTTTTGGGGCATCACCTCTCCTCAAGGTAACGTTTGAGGCGGTGTCCATTCACTTTGAAAGTTCGTTGCTCTAAGTGGGAGATTTCTACCACTCCGTATGGGAACACTTGCGTTACAGCATACGGGCCTGACCATTTTGACCATAACTTCCCGGGAAATAATCGTATCCGGGAGTTGTACAAAAGTACCTACTCTCCCGGTTGAAAATGCTTCCCTCCTTTCAGTCGAGCATCATGCAAGCGCTTCGTCCTTTCCTTGTAAATCTGGGTATTCTCATAGGCCTGGAGACGGCACTCCTCGAGCTCAAGCACCTGCAACTTTCTTTCATTTCCACACAAAGTATGGTCCATATTCAATAACTTGGTGGCCCAGAAAGCCCTATGCTCTAGCTCTACAGGCAGATGACACGCTTTGCCATACACCAATTGGTAAGGCGAGACGCCTATTGGGGTTTTGTAGGCCGTGCGGTACGCCCATAGAGCATCATCGAGTTTTGCGGACCAATCCTTGCGGGATTGGTCCACGGTCTTTTCAATTATCCTTTTCAGTTCCCTATTTGACAACTCTACTTATCCACTTGTTTGGGGATGATAGGCCATTGACACCCGATGGGTAACACCATAGCGATCAAGGAGTATGTCAAATTGTCCTTGAAAATGGGTTCCTCGATCAGTGATGATGGCCATCGGGGTCCCAAATTGTGAAAACAGTTTTTTAAGAAATTCACAGACCCCTCTTGCATCATTGGTGGGGAGAGCCTAAGCCTCGACCCACCTCGAGACGTAGTCCACGGCAAGAATGTACTTGTTTCCAAAAGATTATGGGAAAGGGTTCATAAAATTGATGCCCCAAACATCGAAAATCTCACATGTAATGGAAATCGTTTGGGCATCATTTCGGTTAGACACATTACATGTTCTTTTGGCAACTGTCGCAATGACTCACAAATGTGTAGGCATCCCGGAATAGGGACGACCAATAGTATCCCGATTGAAGCACCTTTCTTGCAGTTCGGTTGCAACCATGATGGCCTCCAGCTGGTCCCTTGTGGCAGTGGCTTAGAGTAGCCGTCATTTCCTTCTCCGGGACACACCTCCGAATGACCCTGTCGGCCCCAATCCGAAAAAGGTGGGGGTCATCCCAAAAGTAGTATATGAGATTGGAGAAGAACTTTTTTTCCCTTTGGCAGTTTCCTTCCAACCAAGTAATTGACAAATTTGGCGAACCAAGGTGCGACACTCTCAACAGTGGCAAGCGCGAAC